GCTAGTGGAAGTGGTATAACTGTTGACAACGTGGACAGGTACACATCTGATGTGAATTTACTGGTGAAGCGACTTAAAACCTTGGTTTTGTCACAAGAAGCCGGTCACAACGCTCATAGCGAAGAAATAGACTATATTATAGAGTTGCTTCAACTAAACGGAATTATCGCTTAAGTGTTCATAGGTAATAAAGGCATTATGAATAAAAGAAAGAAGACAATGTCAAGTCAAGCAGATGCTGCTAAGAGAGGTATTGTTAATGAGTTACACAAACCAGCTAGGAAAAACTTTGTCAGAAGAAAGGTTTTTGTTCGAGGTATTGACGATTTGTGGCAAGTCGACTTGATAGAAATGATACCTTACTCAAAAGCGAATAAAGGGAAAAAGTATATCCTAATGATAATTGATGTTCTTTCAAAGTATGCATGGGCGGTTCCTTTAGACAACAAAAAAGGGAAGACAGTGGCCTCAGCTATGGAAAATGTTTTGAAAAATAGCGGAAGAATACCACAAAACATTCAAAGTGATCTTGGTACAGATTTTTATAATAAAGAATTTAAATCCTTAATGCAACGTTTTGCGATAAATCATTTCAGTACATTCACCCATTTGAAGGCCTCTGTGGTAGAAAGGCTGAATAAAACGATTAAAAATTGGATGTATAAGGAATTTGCTGTACAGGGAGATTATAGGTGGCTAGACATGCTTCCTCGTTTAATTTCCATGTACAATTCAAGGCTACATCGGACAACAGGTATGCGACCACGAGATGTTACATCGTTTCACGAGAGGGCATTGGTGAGGAAATTAAATCAAAACAAGGTACAACAGATTCCAAAGCTAAGAGTCAATGATAAAGTCAGGGTTTCTAAGTATAAAACTTTGTTTGAAAAAGGTTACACCCCAAACTGGAGTACTGAACTATTTAAAATCATACGAGTGCGAAAATCTGTCCCACCAGTGTACTACCTACAAGATGAAGATGGGGACATTATCAAAGGGGCATTTTACGAACCAGAATTACAAAAGACAAATTACCCAGATACGTATTTGATTGAAAAGGTTATAAAGCGCAAAGGAAACAAGATTTATGTCAAATGGCTTGGGTTTCCCTCACGCTACAACTCGTGGGCTTAAATAGTATATTAACCTGTTTCTCCCATCATTCTGGATTAGATCTTGTTATTGTAAACATATATTGTACAAGCTATGATTAGAAGACATATCATAGATAAGTTTGGACATGCTTTGTATCAAGAACAGAAGCATCACTTATCTGATGACGAAGATGATGCATATGTGATAAGTGAAGATGGATCAAAGAGGTTTAGAGCTGCAGTGGAACCTGACGTATCACGACAAAAGGTGTCTAAAGGCTATTTAAATCGTTTCTATGTGAACAAAGACGATTTGAATGAGGTGGAAGGAAAGTTAAAGACCTTTGTTGTTAGCCTCAAAGAGGCCCAGCAAGCAGTTAATGATGTAAAACAATCAATAGTCTCCATAGAGGGTTCTATCAAGACCGAGCTAAAAGACATAAAGGAGAAACAGTTATTCTATCACGATAGACTAAACAACTTAGAAGAATCAGATGGGAAATCATCACAATTAATTGCTTCCTTGGATAACAAACTAATAAAGCTAGTTGAATCAGACGAGAAAACGTCTGCATCTTTATTATCTTTGGATGATAAGCTCAAGAAGCTGAAAGACTCGGATGAGAAAACATCTACACATTTGTTATCTTTGGATAGAAATGTCAAAAAGCTGTTTGAATCAGATGACAAAACGTCTGCATCTTTAGTATCTTTGGGTGATAAGCTCAATAAGCTACAAGACTCGGATGAGAAAGTTTCTACATCTTTGATGTCTTTGGATAAAAGATTCAAGAAGCTACATGATTCAGACGGGAAACAGTCTAAATCGCTAGTATCCTTAGATGAAGAGGTAAAGAAGCTGCAAGAATCAGATGAGAAAACATCGAAATTATTAAGGACCATTGATGAAAGGCTAAACACGTTGGATAAATCAGATGCCGAAACTTTAAAATTTTTTACAACTATTGATAAAAAGCTCACTGCATTACTTACGACAACAGGATTATCTATCTCTTAAAATTTTTTAGCATGTATAAATAAATGGAAACCTGTCTAGACTTGTTGTCAAAGCCTTCTTTATACAACAACGTTATGTAATCGCAAAAAAGAAAGAGATCCAAGAGGTTCAATGGATTTGTCCTTGGCGCTCAGCATCCGCCTCATAAGGTCAATGATCGTACTAAGACCTGTCCAGACCTGCAAATACACTGCATATAAAACCTAGAACTTGTTTGCTGGTTCAGTCAGTATGAAACGCGTCAGTGAAGCGGTCGGCACCAGTTCCACGTAAAGATCTATCGCGAGTGAAACGCAAACGTACTAAAGCTCCCCCTATACCCCCAGTGCATAACGTAATATACTCCGATGTAAATACTATGGACATTGACCAGCTTCTTGCATCTCTAACTGGTGAGACTCTGCAAGACGTATCTGATTCTGTACACACAACAGCAGGTACAAGTGCGATCCAAACGAATTACTATACCCGCGAGTGTTCGACAGTTTGCAGTGAAAATGGTAATGCAGTGGAAGAGGATGAGGATTACGATTCAAAGGAAGTGGAAGAGTATCGACCGGAACAGCCGTCAATTGTACAGCAGAAAATACCAGCCCACTCCAATTCGGCAAAATCTGCCACACGTGCCAGGTCGAGCCAGGTTTTTCGTCAGAAAGGTCATCAAGAAAAACTTCATGCCTCGATTTTGCCATCACTGTCATCACAACTGCCACCACCGCCGCCGCCACCACCACCACCACCTCAACGTTCGCAACAACTATTATCAAATACATCAGCACTTAAGCTATCTACGTCACCGACCACACTATCGACTTCACCTCCAGTGTCATACGTGTGTTCTTCTTCGACGTCTGCTTCAACACCTGTGATGACAACATCTGTGGTGAGTCACTCTCATAGTTCACACAAAGCAGCTGTGCGTTCTAACCAGCAGTCTAACTCATGGGAACCACGTCTTTTACTCAGACAGATTTACAAAGTGGCAAGCCAGGCTCATGCGGTTGTTGGTCTTGATTCTATTAAAGACTTTTCTCCTTCTATTTGTTTAGTGAATAATGAAACCTCAATTGAATTGACATTTGAAGATCTTTTAAGTCTGCAAAGCTCTACAGTTCACCACTCTGTCAACAACTTTTACTCCAATGAAACTCCATTCAATCCATTCTATCTACATACAGTCATACTGGAACCCAGACCAAATGGATTAGTATCATTTTGTAACTATCGTCTGAGAAATAAGCCAGTTAATCACAATTTGAATTCTGTTACACTTTCGAGACCTTCTAGTGAATCTGATAGTTATTCGACAGACTCCCAGAGTGGTTCTACAAAATGATGGATGGATTTCTTTAAAACGCTTGTTCCCGTCCCTTGAAAGCTACTTTAATATCCTACTTGAAATAAACCCAACTGTGCAGTTTCTGATCTCTCGTTACACACGATATTTTACCAAACACTATAAGGTAATGGCCTTGCTTTCTTCAAACACTACAAATGACTTGGCTTCAATGACTTTGGATAAACAACTCGTTCGACACATTACAAGTGATTTGCCACGTTTACTTTCTGACTTGAATGAAAGGAGGTTGCCTGCAGAGACTCAAGATTTTTGGTATGAACGGACTGCACTCAGGACATCAATGATGCCCTGGATAGACAGTGAGGTACGCCGCTTTTGTGCAGCAAACATTACCGAAGCTGTGATGGAGAACTTAAAATACTTGTCAAAATGGTAAAGAGAAAATTGCTGTATTCAATGTATCTTATGGTAATATATTTGTATTACAAACTTTGGTTTTCTTTATTTGTTTACCCTTTCCTTCAGCTAAGCTAGCAAAACACAGTAGAGGATTGACTTTACTTTTCTTAGCATCCATAGCAATAATACTTTTTAAATTAATTTACCAGAGGGTGTTTGGAAAACTTTTAAATAATGGGTTTAGCAACAAACAAAGTAGTCAAGTTTAACATAAGTTTATTTGAAAGATAAATGCTATATAGATAACACCAACATAACAGGTAACCATAAACATTTTATATGTGTTTATTATATACAACTCTAGCGTTACATAAATGTGTTAAGATTAGTAAACATGTAATAGTAAAAAACAAATACAGATAGAAAAAAGGTTGTTAGTACATTACAAAATATTCATGAAATGTGCACAATAATATACATGTGTTAAATATCATAATGCTAAGCATTATCTTACTTTGTTATATCATGTTATTAAGTTATATTTTAGCTATATACTACTAGAATTCAGTTCTCAAGTAGATAAACAACTCTTATAGAGTATAGACAACAAAAAGGCATGAGTTCATCATATTATTTTACAATAGCTAAGGTTTACAATAAAGCATAATATCTAAACAGAAACGCAAAACAAACATAGTAAACGTGAAATTGTATGGTTAGAAACAAAACTTGACCAACAGCCTCATTGTTCAAATATGCTGGACTAGCGTATGTCACTCTCTATATGGATCATAAAGTTCTGTACGGTTAAACATTGTCACTGGAGATGCGGGGCTGTCTTCATCACTATCATGTAACATGTTGTTATTGTCTCTACAGTCAAAGTAGTTTAGAAATGTAAACAATGGTCGAAATACACAGTAGTCACACCAGTTATTTTCTTGTTTAACCACTGCATCAATTAGCCTGTTAGAGTTAACTTCAAAATGCTGTACAACATGTACAAAATGCCAACCCCTTTTCGTGCCAATAACTTTGATAGTCAATATCATTATCGTCTTTTAGTGTAAAAAGGTT